AGCCCGAGGGACTACCGACATGCACTAAGTATTACGTTTAGTCTACAACATGGAACGCTCTATACCTTAAATATATCTGACGTTTCTTAATATATCTACATCAAGAGCCCTTTCCTCGCCTTCGTATATCATAATTTTCTTTTATGATAAAAATAGTTAATATGAATATGACGTCTACTAGTGTCAAAGAGCAGCTTCCACATATTTATTCCAAAACTCTAAAAAGTAACTTACAACTTACTGTCCAATACTAAAATCAAGTGTCAGGTACGTAGCATGTCTTTCATAAATAGGCAAAAAGTTGAGTAGTTTTGTAGGTTGGTAAATAAAAAATTATAACGAATAAAAAATTCAAAACGGTTCCTTCTTCACAGTTATGCTTTTTAAGAAAAAAAAAGTTTAAGAAAGTTTTTACCGGTTAGAGAAAGTGGGGTTTTAAAGTATATATGATGTCAGTAATGTGATTTGTATTACGTGAAATAAAATTGCTAATCACATGATCTTGAACAACGAAATACCAAATTGTGTAAGCGATAACACATTACAACTTGTTGAAATTTTGTGTCACGCTCGCTGTTAAAATATCATAAGCATAATCCTCAGTGATTTCGAATCCAAAGCATTCGGAGGTTAATATTAAATATTCTGATACAAGTAGTACAAATTTACGTGTAACTAATGTATAATTTTTTAATTATAAAAAGGAAAGTGAGTCAAAATCAAAATATAATAAAATTTTCTTGTTTTATATTATAGTGATTAAGTAGTTTTTATGCATCGCTACAGATTTCACAAGTGGCCATACAATTAATTTATTCTAAAGATTAATATTATCAATTTCTAAATGTAACCGCAAAATGTTTCATTTCTTAAAACGTTTCAAACATTAGGATCTTAAATATGTGATTACCATGAATATAAAAAAAAACAACAGAAAATTTACGAGCGCTCCCCAGCTTAGGTACTGAAGATTTACTTTATACATAAAGTAATACCGTTCCTCAAGTAAAAAAATAGAGATATATCACAAAGTATAAAAACCATCAATATATAACTCTATTCTCAGTAATATTTTAAATCTTTCGAGAGATATTCCTTGAACATATAAATACATATTTATTTATATCAGACTAAGAAATCAACACTCATTTATTTTGATTTATCATTTGATATACGTTCTAATTTCTTTTTTAAAAAAAATTTAGTAATATAATAAGGATGTTACATAAACATCCTAGACTTCGTATAAGAACCTTTTATTTGACATTATTTATTCTAGCACCCATTCGAAAACTCAAATTAACGAAAAATAAATTGACTGTTGTTTCAATAATAAATGAAAGAACCTTGTTAAATAATATTTAATAGAATGTTTATTTATATTATGTTTTTAAATATTTAACTAGCTGTTCATCAAGGAGGATTATTAAGTATTTACGAAAAATATAATTAAACAAAACATTAACAACATGCTGATCTTGGTTTCCATGATTTCTTCGTGGCCACGTATAAATAATGGAAACAAAACACGGATCAATTTTTTTACAGGGATATAATTTAAACATATAATTATTTATTAAAATGTACAATTACAGGTATAATGTGAAGTTTCGAGATGGTTTTTATTCTAAAAAAAAAGTAAATTATCAATCTCGTAAATGTAATAAATGTTATACTAGTATAAATCTTCAAATAGTGACTTTGTCAGCTATACTTAAATCACTTAAATGGCAATGTTCATATATATATAAGTAAAGTTTATTTTTTTTTCCTGATCAACTTACATATTAAGTTAATTTCTTATATATACCGAAAAAAACGGTTAACTATCTTCATTAATTAATCAGTACTTCATGCTTGATAATAACTATTATGTAAGTCTCTGAAATACTTATAGTTTCAATAAATCGTCTTAAATTTCTCCGAAGTTATATTGAGTATACACTTATATTAATTAATTTCGAAAAATATTATCTTAATAAACGTATCACTTGCATTTCCGCAATATCTTCATTGAAGCTTGTTACGATTCTTTAATCAGATTATCAAATACTGAAATTAATTTATCATATTTATTTTTAATAGGTTCGGCGAAGATAATCCTCTTTATTCGATATAGTTATGATTTTTTTGGGGTAAAAATATTTTAAATCCTAAATATTAATTTGGAAATTAAGTAAAAAGTTTGAGGGATTGCTTCATATTTTACCATGTTTCTATTGTTGCACTCAGTTCGTGACGTTTATTGGTTATAAATAATAGAAAAAATAAGCAGAAGGTTTCTTTATTGAAATGAATTAAATTTATTTCTTAACAACAAGAGAAATCTAACATAAATCTACGTAAATAAAGTATTGCCTCAATTGTCGGCGCTCTATACGATCAGATACGCAATTTATTATATATTTTCGTTATCGTTACAAATAAAAGGGAAAGGGGATATATGCTAATATTATCTATCGTTTCGTTTATATCTATTGAATTATATAGGGACATATCTTTATACTCGAACGAAATCCCACCTCTTTTATACTTAAAACCCAGCAAGGACTAATTGTTTAGAGGCCTTTTTGTCCTCATCTTGGCCGGTAGGCAATTTTGCCAGAGGACAATTAGTCCATTGATCTAAACAGAAATGGGACACAATGCCCTGGAACTAATAGAACACGATAGAACAATTAAATTACTAATATTTCTTTGTAACACTATTGTTAAAAAAAATTGATTAAATCACTAGTCAATCAGAAATTGCCGTCATATCAAATCAAAAAAAAAAAAGTAAGGATTAATTACTTATCCAGACCCATTTTTAATTTCGAGACAAAAGGTTGTCTGAGCAAATTCACAATAATAAATTTGGGATTTTCACCCAAAATTTGAATTTATTTTCCCTTTGGTATATTTTTTTTAATACATATATCCGAATTTCTGTTAAAATCCTTTAAAATTGAAAATTTAGTTAAATTGGTGAATTATTACAAATCGTCAAAATGTTGCTGAAACAATCGCTATCAAAATTATTTTTGAAAATGTTTCGACGTTTTACAAAAAAATTTGACCCGCAACCTTCGTAAAATTAAAAAATAGAAGCTTTGATTAAACTAGTAAGCTTTAATCGGTGATGCACATGAAAAAAAAAGAAGAAAATAGATTTATTATTGTTTCTATTTTTTGATTAAACCGGTCCAAAAGGACCGGTCCTACTACAAAATGATATCGCTGCGAAAAGAAATTAAAAAAAATTACATACTGGTAATACTGGTACTGTCGAAATGTAAAACTGTAAAAAAAAGAAGAAAAATTAATTACAGGAAATCAGAGAAATTTTAGAACCTCGTATTAGATTTTTCAAAAACTGAAAAAATTTTTATAGTAAAATCTAAAAAGCATTTGTCCAATCTTTTAGAATTACGTGCGCTTGAAGAAATTTTTCATTAAATGTAGAATTTGATAAATTTAATTGTCCGCGTTCAAAAAAAATGGGCTCTGTAAATATTTTTAATGAAAAAATTTCTTATCAATGGCAGCTTCTTTAACGAAAATCATTCTACAGAAATCTATATCAATGTTAAACATTACATTCTTATCGTAGTAAAAAATCAAAAAATATCACCCAAAAGCTATTTAACTTATCTAAAAGAAAGAAGGTTCAGTATTAAAATAAAAATAAAAAAAATTAGTAAATACTAAAAAATCATACCTGAAAGAGTCCCAAAAAGTCATTTAATTCATCCAAAAGAAAGAATGCTTGATACTATAAAAAAAAGAAAAAATGTCATTGAAAACTGAAAGAAAGTGTTTCTAAAAAATAAATTTAAAAAAAAGAAAAGAAAAAGAAGAAATAGTGATTCTGATTTTTTTAAAAAAAGGTTAAATATGTTTAACTATACATTTATAATTAAAAGTAAATGGAAGATGCAAATCGCCATCTATTGGCAAATCTATAAAAAAGAAATAAAATAAAAAATTAGAAAATATGTTTATAGCTGATTTGAACTTATCAAGAACAAAGGTAAAATTAGTAATGGGATGATTTGATTCAGAACTGCAAATATATGCCTTATTTTTTAATAAAATTTGGTCTTTTGTCATTCATTCTTTTTCTCGCTATAACTCAATTCCATAATCAACCTATAATAATATCTTTCGAATTACATAAGGAAAGCATTACCAGTATTATTATCAACGGTTAATTAAGATTTGGCTTGGTTAATTAACCGGTTAATTAACGTTAATTATCCGTAATAATAATTTTATATAAAATTTATAAAAAAAAAAAATTTGTAAACTCGATCGCAAGATTATTAAATGTATTACTAAGAATAGCCACATTGTTGCGTCTTTTTTACCATTTTTATAAAAAATAATTACAAAGAATTTATCAAAATATACTTCAAAAATATTAAGTTAATTTTTTTAATAAGCCCAAACTATTTGATAAGTTGAAAATAAGAGAAAAAGGAGAGTAAGAAAAGAAAAGAATTAATAAGAGGTTTTTAGGTTTTACATGTTAAAAAGTTAAATAAAAATATTCAAATTTAACTTTTGTTTCTATCATAATGAAAAAAAATATCATCTAGATTTGATTGGTCAATTCAAAATTAACCAAAACGGTTAATTAAATTAACCAGGTTAATTAAGGGTAGAGGGATGTAGATCATTTCTTATATGTAATAGAAATTTACAATGTCACGTTCCTGGTATCAACTTCTTGTACAAAAAAATCCTTCTAACTATAAAAATTATCAAAGAATAAACAAAAGTTGGTTCGTTATTAACTTTTCTTTCGAGTTTGAAGTGTTACCCCTTCATAAAGAGTTGTTTAAATTTTTAATAAAAAAAAACTTCCATTATGATCTTGAAAAAACTCAAATACAAAATGCAAATGTTGGCTATACATTTACAAAATAATGCTTTTGACAAAAGCTCGTGGGTTCCATTATTATCAGGTTATACTGTATATACATCTTTGGGAGGAAATTTTTTTAATTTTCTATCAAAAGAGAGAAAAATTCTTTACAATTTGTTTGGCAAGAATTTGGAAAGGATTTTACATTTACTATTTGTAATGCCGAAGGTCAAGAAAAACTAGGATTTCACCTAATGATAAAACACTATAATTTAAAAAACACTTCGATTGCTTCAATTTTAAGACTTAATGAACCCACTATTATGAAATTTTATAAAGAACAGTTCACAAAATTTTTCTTATTTGTTTTTCTTATCAAAATCAAACTAAAAAGGAAAAAACTTTGATCCGTAGTCTTAAACGAAAAAGTGAAGAACTTGAGAAAATTTGTGATAATGAAGAAAGTTCTATTATTTGTGGAATAAGCTTGCTAGTAAATAAAAAAAAACATTACTTCAGAATCTACACAGCTCTTATGACAATGTATGAAGAGAAGAAAGTTGCATTGTATAACACTAACCGTAATATCAAAAAGTTAAAAAATAAAGTTACACAGCTTCAAAACGAAAAATATAATTTGAATGATAAAACTGATCTAAATCAAAAATTCGAGAAAATAAAAAAGTCAGTACATGATATTTTAAATGAAAAAAATTTGGGATCTGCAATCTTAATTAGCACAGAACAATATCTTTCTCTTGTACTCTTCCACCTTACAGTCATTGTTATAATACTGATTTTCATAATAAATTTTGTCATGTATCTTATACTGGTTTTAATATTATAATTGATATGGATTGTTAACTATATGGTACGATCGATTCATATTCCAATCAATCTAAAGGAATCAACTTTTCACATCTTGTTGCAGCAGCGGCTTTGGCAAGTAGTAATAGTCATCATGTGATACAAACTGCATTAGCAGTTATTGTTATTACTACTTAAAGTTGTAGGCGGTTATATGGGGCCTTTGCAATAGAAAGGGGGAAACTGCTGGGAAAAATTAATTTATCTTTATATACCAAATATGATTTTTATGCTGAAATATGTTCAAATTTAGCATTAACTCACTTTTGATTTTTCCGGCTGTTTCCCCCCTTTCTATTGCAAAGGTCCCATATTATCAATATCAGTCTTAAATGTTTTTACAATTATATCAAGAGCTGTAGATTCTGCTAAAAAAGCATTAAACGCTGCTATATCTCATGCTAATACAAAGCAAAAAAAATCTTTAGCTGTTGGATTTGATTGCTCTTAGTCTCATTCTCATAATGTAAGCCAAGCTAGCGAAGAATTTATTTATTTGATGATCTTGAAGGTAAAGTTAATTTTGATTATTTATAGAATTAAATCTAATTCAATTTTATTTATATATATTATAAGAATATGGATATAAAGCGGTTGTTGCTTTCATATAGTAGAAAAATCTCATTTTATTACTAAAAAAGGGAAATATAAAGCATTCACTAATGAAAAAGTTATAGTACAAAAAGGAAATTTTGATGTCAGTTCCTGCCAAATGGAGCATGCCATTTTAATTGCACTTTTAGAAAAGATTACTCCAATATTAGAAGAATCTGACCTTTTGCTTGAAGTTTGTATTAATGGAAATTTAGATTCTAATAAAACCTTGGCAAACATTCCTATTGTATCAGAAATTTACGCATATCTCAAACATGCAAGCAAAAATATTTGAAAAAATTTATATATGTTTTAAATTCATATATTAATTTTAATATAATTATTATTATTTTGTTTCTTTTTTAATTATTTTATAATTAATAGTAAAAAAACAATATACTCGTTATCACAAGTTTGAGTAACATATAATGAGATACTTTAATGGATATGTTTTTGCTGCTAGTTTAAAAAAAAATAATGAATCAGATACACCAACAAATGAAGAATTTCGTTATATTCAAGTAGAAGGTTTAATCCAACATTTGCTTAATAATCATAATCTTTGTTGGAAAGAAGTTTGTTAGTATAAAGAAAATGAAGAGTTACAATTACAATCTCCAACATTACAATCTTTTACAAAAATAGAAATTGAAGGGTTTCGACAAATGCTTTTAACGATTTTTAAACTTCCTATTCAACAAAGTCTTGTTACTCAATACCGAACAACTTACAATGAAGCTTTTAATAGAAAAATATTATGATTTCTTGATAAATGAATTGATTTTTGGACATCTTATAAAGCATGCTATGCTTTAGCTATTATAGATAATAATGAGGGTCTTAATTGTATTATGAGGAAGCTGCTCAATCGTATAATTTCAGTTCACATGATCAGAGTAATATAATTAAATTTACTGGAGAATGCTAAAGTCAATTAAATCGTAACTGAAATAATATAGCCAAACGTAAACAAAAACGTACTGCAAGTTACACTAATGAATGTCAAAAGTTACAAAGATTTGACTTTAGTCAGGTTAATTTTCAATTTTTTTTATTTATTATATATTCTATAGTGTAAAAATAATTATTCAAAATCTAACATTTATAATAGGAGTTAATTCCATATAAATACAAGGCAGAGGAAAGAATTTGAGCCAATATAGGGTGAGTGCTATGAAAAAGAACCAAATCGACAAAATTTTTTTTGAAGTAACAAATAATCTGAATCAGATGACCAAAATTACATCAATTTTACTTAGGAACTTTTTTTTTTAAAAAAAAATCAATTTGGTCCACTTTCCCAGCACTTACCCCATATGTTTTATCCTTCCTTTGCAAAATTAATTACAGATTTTGATGTAATTATTAAGTGCCAAGCTTGTTTTGCATTTCGTAAGAAAACTGTGGTTGGTTTATGTTCTTTGTGTTCTTTTTACGTCTTAGCAGGTTGGTAGGAACGCTTGTAGAATAAAAATTATATTCCTAATAGTAAAAGACATTTCTTAGATTAGAGGGCCTTAGATCCAGATTGAGGGAAAGTACTTGAGGCTAGAAAGGGAATGCAAGATAATATGTTTTCCAATAGAAATTTAAAAGATTTAATAAAATTAGTTGCAAAACAAATATTTGGGTATAATCAATTGTGAGAAGAACAACTTGAAGCTATAAAGGCTTATCTAGGTAGCAAAGATACATTAGAATCAATTAAAACCAGAGAAGAAAAAACCTTTTGTTATATAAATTGTGCATTAGTATTTGAAGGGATAACGATAGTTATTAATCCATTGAAGGCTTTAATAGAAGATCAAAAAGTAAGTAACAGTTAATAGTTACAATTTTTTGAACTATGACTTATATTTTATTATTAATTTTAAATAGCGTGAGTTAATATGCCTAGGCATACCTTTTGCTTTGATTTATGCAAACTCAATACAAGGCAAAAGTGAACAAGCCAAAATATTTGAAGAAATTGCTCTTGGATTTACTAAAGTGTTATTTATCACTCCTGAAAAACTTTGTTTAAATAGAGAATTTCAACATTTTATCAACTATACGTATAATAAAACAAAAGTTCAGTTTGTGATTGATGAAGCTCATTGTATCTTAAATTATAGTAATTTTAGGTAAGTGGTTCATTAAAAATATGTTGCTTATATTTGTGAAGTGATAATTATTGTTATTTTTATTATTATTATTATTATTAATAGGGAATCATGGAAAAATTTAAGATTATTAAAAAAAATTGCCTATGGTTCCTATCATGCTTTTAACAGCTACTTGCACATATCAAGATGTTCAAGATATTCGCACTTCTCTTAAAATATCAGTAGAAAATTTTACTATAATTCGAGGTACTTCTTTTAAACGTAAAGTGATAGCTATAGAAGTTTTCAAAAGAAAAGATAATCATGAAATCTTTTCGAATAAACTTATGAATCTAATTAAGAAGCATGAAAATGGAAGGGCTATTGTTTACTATGCAACACAATCAGGTTGTAATGATCTTTTTGCGATATTACAACCACTTATTTCATATAAAAATTTAGCTGTATATCATGAAGAGTTAGGAGATGAATAATATGAAAGCATTATGTCATATTGGAAAGATCATAAAATCAAAGTAATGATTGAAAAAATGCATTTGGCATGGGTATTAATTCTTCTGATATTCATTTAATAATACATTGTATGGGTCCTTTGAACATGAGTAAGTAATATTATTATATGTGATATACAGTATATGCCTTTTATTTAGCACTTTTTATTACATATAGTGAATTTAGTTCAACAAATTGGACGAGAAGAACATGATGGTAGTGAATCCAGAAGTGTTATATTTTATTCAATAAAAAAAGATTTAAGAACAAACTTTGTAATCTTAGCTAAAAATCGTGAAATGTGAGTGTTTGAGTTAAATCACTAATAATTATAAATTAAAAAATTTATTATCAAAGAAATAAATAACATACAAAAAATTAGAAAATTTTAGTATTTAATATTGATAATAATTATGTTTAATAAATAGCTGTTTTAATACTCAAAATATAACTGATCAAGAACGTGAACGAAAATGTTATCTTGATAATGGAATACATAAAATTCGTGAAGTCCTTTTATTTTGCCAAACTCAATATGAATGCAAAAGCCAAATAATTAGTCATTATTATCTTTGGAATGGGGATAGTGTTCATTCTCCTTGTTTGAAGTGTGATAATTGTAAAAATCAGATAAAAGAACTTCTAACTTGTGAAAATTGCATAGGAGATATTCTTTATTTATTAGATATTGTTGAGGAAATGGGTAATAGTAATTGTGAAATTACTGAAGATGATGTGGTAGAAATTTTTTGTAAGTCAAATACTAAAAAGATTCGAGAGTCAGGTTTGACTGAGCTAGCGGTATATAAAAAAAAGTAGATGAAAGCCAAAATTTGGAAAGCCAAAAGAATTGGCTAGTTATATGCTTGCTGATCTGGTAGTGCGTAGTTATGTAGAACAAAAAATTTCACTTTATTATTCTTCACCAAATGCGCAAAATTTATCAGCGAGTATGTTTATAGTACGACTTATTGCTGAAGCAAAAATGAGAGTTATGGAAGATTCATGGTACTATTGGGTGCATAAAAAATAAGAATTTTTATTATAATAATAACATTAATAATAATAAAAGAATTTAATACTAATAATAATATAAAAAAAAATGAAATGTGAAATGTATAAATTTTATGCGTATAAATGTAAAGAAAAAAAATGTATACGGATCTCATAGGATAAGTTGAGCCAAATAATACCAATAAATTGAGAACTAATATAATTTATTATTTTATATTCGCAAAAATATATATTCATATTCGCAACTTCATATCAGGTTTGTTTAAGATGTTTTTTAACGAACAAAATTTTTTAAAAGTTGAAATGTAAAGTTCAGAACTGCGCCTTTATAGCGATATTGAGTATTACAAAAGTTTACCTTTTGCGAATATTAGTATTACTATTTAATATAAAAATCATCATATCGATCATTATCAATTTATCACGTAATACACTTTACCCTTAATAACGCCCATCCATCTCTGTATAACAAGGAGAAAAGTAACACAATTAAGTGATTATTTAAGTGATAATTTCCTAATTATTTAATCCAAAATTTCTACTTTTGACAAAAAAAATGTCGACACAATTTTTTCCCAAGTTGAGCCGAAATTATATTGAAATTTAGATGATGATGAATATTATGATATTTACAGAATTATTTAATTAAAAACAAATTTGAATGGATGAAATAACATTTTGAGCTAACTCATAAAAATAGTTTTCAATTTAACACTTCATTGAAACTTGAAGAGTTCTGTACAGGTGTTATGACTAAAACACCTGAAGAAATATTTCAGTCATTTGATTTCACATTACTTCCTGAAAAATCTCTGATCTCACTTATTAAAAGTGATAATTTACAAATGGAGGAAATTGAGGTTTGGAAATATGTATTAAAATGGGGTCTTAAAAAGAATCCTACTCTTATTTCTGATCTTACAATCTAGTCAGATGATGATTTCAAAATGAATGAAAATACCATACAACATTATTAGATTCTTTAGCTTAACTTTTGAAATATTCTTTGAAAAAGTTCGTCTATATAAAAAGCTTTTAAATTCTCAACTTTATGAAGAATTAATTAAATCTTATTTAAATCCTAATAGCAAATCAAATTTTAATATTTTACTATCTAGGAATAAAAAGGTTGATGGAATAATTGATTCACAAATCGTTGATTTAAATATTGTTTCACTCATTTCAAGATGGGTTGATAAAATAGATATCAAAAGCAAATTTTCTTATGCAAGTGCGTTGCACCTGCCTTATAAGTTTAAATTATTATTAAGAGAAAGCAGAGATGGTTATTCTCCTAAGAAATTTCATGAATTATGTGATAATAAAACAAATATTGTTACATTTATCAAAGTAAAAGGGACAGATGAAATCCTTGGTAAATATAATTCTTTATTATGGAATATAAACGGCAAATATATGTTAACCAAAGATAATTTTATATTTTCTTTTAAAAATAAGAATAATCTCAAAGATATAATTTTAAGCCATATAAAAAACAAATACATTGCTATATATTGTAATATTACTGATGGCCCTTTCTTTGATGAATATTAACATCATCTAATATTATAAATGATCCTTATATTCTTTTTTTGATTTTAATAATAATTATTGTAAACTAAGTAATTATGAAAAAGTGATAAGGAATACAAATGACAGATTTTCTATAGAGGATTATGAAATATATCAAATCTTAAATGAATGATAATTTTTATCAGCTTATAACATATCGTATTATATTTTTTTTTATCTTGCTATGATAATTTTTTTACAAATATTTAAATATTAAGAATGCTTGTTATTTAATAAATTTAAGTACTTTAATATAAATGATAATACCAATAAATACGATAAAGCACATAGGCTTATTATAAATGTAATGGATAACTTCTTGTTATACAGAAGTATTTTGTTGATAAATATCTATATAAGTATCAACTAAATAATATATTTTCATTAATATTGTTATTTAAACATTCAAAAAATTATTTGACGAGATGTTTTGAAGAAATCATATACCTTAGTCAGCAATATTTATTTCGGGAATTTAAGAGAAGCTAACCTTAGAGGTGATTTTTATGCATTTGGAGAAGTTTAACCAATCAATATACTATCTTCTAATTCTTTCAAGTTTTCAATATAAAGTATAGTATAAATAAATTTTTATAAATTTATATTAGAATATTCCACTTGGTCTTTCATCAACAAACTAATTAATCGAAGTAATTCTATAATATAATAATCATAATAAAAAAAAATATCGAAATTATTTTAAAAAAGAATTTTATTTTCTAATAACTTGGAAAAGAATATTTCCCTACTCCAGAATACTATTATTATGTTCAGTATATTTTTTATAGTAGCGGCAATTAGAAAAATATACAATCTGGGTTGTTCTATTTATATTCTTTATTTATCCATAATTTATCTTTTAAACTAATGAATACAGATTAGTTTTTTACATAATACAATATTATTAAAAGTTTATTTAACTATATAAAAAATTGAAGTTTATTAATACTATAATTCGTAATATCTATAAGCTTTATAATGATTTATTATACTTTATAAAACATTAATTTCGTTTAATTAATGCATTCATAAAAATAATATTTTAATTAATTTTTACATTTAGTTCTTGGAATATCATACTTTTTTGCAATACTTGATGCTTAACTAGTAAATATGTAATAATTGTAATAATTATTATCGTGAAATAAGAGAAATCAGTAAATAACTAATATATTTCATGATTACTAACACCCATAATAGAAATTGATTTCATAATAAATTTATGGGATCTTTGCAATAGAATAGAAAGGTGGGAAACTACCAGAAAAATAAATAATGAGATAATGCTAAATCTGAAAATATGTCGTCCTGAAAATTATATTTGGCATATATAAGAAATTGAATAAATTGATTTCCCATTGCAAAGACTCATATAATGTGACTTACTCTAACAATAAATTTTGTTAGTCATCAGCCATTTTTTATAATAAATTCACAATTCTCTAATGATTAAAATGAAATCAAATAATTATAAACAATGATCAATATCTATAATCCATCAAAAAGTATTATTGAAATAAAAAAAACCTATCTCGTTTATTGTCCGAAACATAAGTGTAGGACATTTCTGGTTAGAGCTGAAACTATGCATGTGGAATCTGTCATGACTAGGGATGCTAATGGTTATGGTCATGACCGGTCATGACCGGTCATAGCCGTAACCGATATCGGTCAGTCAAAGGTTTCTGACTGACCGATTTTGACTGATTTTGACCGACCGTTTGGTCAAGTATTTTTTAAAGTAATCCAAGAATTCTTAACATTTAATTAACAATCATTTTATTTATGTAATTTTTTATAAATAAAAATTTTTAATTTATTTTTAAAAAAAGTTTGCGATAATTTTGTAAATATGAAAGTAAACTTAGCCTAAAAGAAATAAGTAAAATATATAAAAATTCGGAGTATCATGTTAGTATTATTTAAAGCTTAAATTAAAATTATCGATCAAGAACTTTAAATTATATTATTATTATTTGGGCTGGTCAACCAGTCAATATAATCAGTCAGTCAGTCAAAGGTCTCTGACTAACCGTTAACCGACCATGACTGACCATTACCATCCTTAGTCACTACTTTTAGATCAATTGGTAAGGTTGCTTGTCTTCTATATAGTAGCTGAAAAGGTGTGAATCCTGTAGATTCATGTTTCTTGATTCAGTAGGCCAATAGTACTGCTTCAATACATTGATTCCATTCCTTGTTTTCAGAAAGTTTCGCTAAACATTCACCTATAGTTCTATTGAATCTTTCTACCATTCCATTCGTTTAAGGCCTATATAATGAAGTTAATCGATATTTGATTTGCCAATCCTTGCATAGCTTATTCATCTATTAGTTGTTAAATTCGATGCCTCTATCTGTTAAGATAATTTCTAATACTCTATATTTACAAATTATTTCTTTAAATATAAATTCTGCTACATCATTAGCTTTTGCTTGCTCTAAGGGTTTTGCTTTAGGCCATTTAGTAAGATAATTCATAGCTAATATGAGATATTGATTTCTATTTGTTGTTACTGGCAGAGGTCCTTTTATATTTATATCAATTTGGTTAAAAGGTCCCTTCACCAGTATTGGATGAAGTTCTTCTGTCCTTTTAGACTTTCTTCTTTTTTGACATGTATCACAATGTTGAATATATTTTCTAATACTTTCATACATTTGTAGCCAATAATACTTTTCTTTCAGTTTTTCGTATATTGTTTCCATTTCAAAATGTGCTCCAGTGAGATTCTTATGCAGATTAAATAATATTAATTCAGTTTATTCAGATAATATAACTCATTGGGGTTATCCATTTTTACGTTGTCTAAATAAATATTATTCCACTATAAAATACTTGTTAGATTACTTTCTGATTTAGGATTTCTATTATTCATTTGCCTTTTCTGGGTATGTGAGGATTGTTAAATATTTAAAAATATCATTGTATTCACTTTTATTCATTTCTTACGATGATTGGTTATTGAAGATGTTTGTATTAGAATTCTGGATAATGTGTCAGATACTGAGTTATATTTTCCTTTTTTATGAATGATCTCATAGTTGTAGTCTTGCAAGATCTTCATCTTGAATATCGTTCATTAGTATTTTAATTATTATTTAATAATCATACAAGTGCGCTGTGATCAGTATAAATCTTGAACTTTCTTTCGTACAAGTAATGCCTAAATTTTCCTAAGGTCCAGATTATTATAAGGGCTTTCAGATTCGTGGTATTATAATTTTACTTATGCTTATGTAGGGTTCTGTTATTATAAGCAATAGGATTATACATAAAGTTGAAATGAAAACCTAAAAGTTGTTATATTTCGACTTTGGAAGTCAAAGTTGAAATGAAAAGTCGAAATAGTCGAAATTATATCATATCACATGATTTTTATATATAGAAAAACAAAAAAAACAAAAAAAAGTATAATCCGATCAATATCGCTTCAATTCGTATGAATAACTACCATTCAATTTCCCACCATTCAATTTCTCACATTCTTTCTTGTTAGATTTTTTCCAAGAAATTTTACTTAAAAAAGTGCTCATTCAACGGCGGCCGCAGCTTAGCCTACGAATAAACAAAAAAACTTCACCTTTCAAAAATATTCCTCTCTTTGTTCCCCA